ACATTCTCAAGCATCGATTTCAAAGGCCATCTTCTCATAACACGACGGCTCAGGATACGTACGTGAACAGAATTTTCCGACAGGACTATCTAACCTCTGAAATACTTGTACAAAGTTCAAAAGTGAGTTCACACAGAGTTTTCCTGTGTGACCTCTCCACAATAGATTAGAGAATGGACCCATGGTAAGCCTTGTGTTTACTCTTAAAAGTCCATGTGAACTGTAAATCCCCGCCCATGCATTAAACCCAACACAACTGATTTGACCACCTAAGCTGCTGTAAAAACCAAAGCAAATCCTGAAATGCAGAAACACTTGCAGTGACGATTGTACTTTTTTACTTTTATCCTTCACAGATGCAGCCAGTATATTGTGGAACATTCTGTATTTTTAATTGATGTGTTCATAGTGTGTTCCCCTTTCATGTTATCTGTGAAGTGCACAATAGGCCTGTATGTTTTTATTGGCAGCTTTATTAATTATTGAGCAAGGCTTTTTCTCAGATGAATGCTCATAGAAATGCTTTTTCATCAACCAAAGGTCAGGCGCTAATTCATTTGCAAAACAGTGTAGAAAACCTACAGCTGCAGCTTCCAATGTATTAGCTGGTGCTCTCACTGTTAAAATACCAAACATGCCGGTGGAACATCAAATCAGCTTTAACTAATTACATTGATAACGGGCCTAAATTTAAGTTGTCTGTCAGTTCCTGCACACCTCTGTGCTGTCAAAGATAGATGTGAAAAAAACCACAGAGTGAGACATCTTAGTGTTTTGCGACATATCACTGTCAGGGATGGCATTCTGGAAACGGGATATAAATAATTGAAGATTAAAGACTCAGTATCGTTAAATTATGACCTTAAGTTGTAAAATTTCTTGTCATAATAAAAAAAAAAAAATAATAATAATTAATAACTATGACAGAAATGATTCTGCAATCAAGAGACCACAAATGTCCATAATCTCGTCCAGGATGACTGAACCCCAATATCCCAACCCCAAAGTGTATGAATAACAGAATGTTAGAAGGTGAATTTAACATCACAGCATGTTAATCACAAAATGTTATTCTGTTAAAAATAAGGGCGAGCTGTATATTACACAATACTTACTTTTGATCATGACTGCTGATCAATTGGTGACAGACGATGGCGCCATTCATCGATCCGACCCCAATCCAAGCAGAGGTTCCTCGACCAGACATTACTCAAGCCTTCTGTTATTCTAACCTCACACCAGAGGTGACGTTCAATCATTTCACATTCTATCTAACACACTCATGCTCAAATCTTTCTCCAAATTTGTTAATGTACCCTTGAGAATATCCAGACTCTTAACCAGATGCAGCCAGAGACACATCTGCCTTCTGTCAACAGCCCTCCATTGATGTATGGTGACTTTTCTCTTTCAGCTTCTGCTCTTCAATCCCTCCCCACTGGCAGTGCCCCTGTGCAGCAACCACAGCTGTGCTTTGTGGGTATAATGGCAGATTGCCTCCCTAGCCTGAGGACTTGGGAGTGACAGACCGGGTTTTTTTATTTTCGGAACGATTTGACAGGTTGAATCATGTGTCCTTAAATTGTACCAAGCAATGCAGGGTTGAGGGCACAACAGAGTTAGTCATGACTACATGATGATGGATGTTTGCATGTAAACAGGTGTTTATACAGTAAAATTCACAGATTTGTGTTGTGGTATTTTAAGGAGCTTAGGAATAAGACGATACTCATGAAGCAGTAATAGTTTCACACCAGCTTTGTGTGCCCTGCTTGTAAACATTGGTTCATGTGATTCTTGGAGACTGCTGAGTATGACTGATGGACCAAAATGTTTTTGCAGGAGATTGTCCGAGTCAGAGGCTTCAACAACAACAGGAAAATGAGGCAGAACACAACACATAAATTCCCCTGCAGAAATCACAGAAAGCTCTCAAATCTTGTTTTCCTTCCATGTATGGAATCCCTTTTTCCTCCTAAAATATTTCTCTTCGTTTTTTTTTCAGTATTTGCATCCATCACACTTTAAAAATAGCAGCAGCACGCCCACTCGCTCGTGGTGAATTCTCTGGACATTAGCATCCTCACATCCAGGCCCTCAGTCTGAAAGCAGTGTTGATTTCCTCTCTTTGACGTGATTGCAGCCAAAATTTGTTGACAGTTTTCTGTGCTCCTCGGCTACAAATGACCACCAGTCCAGTTTAAGTCACCCCTTGATCAGGTTTACTCACCCTCTGTATGCTGCGGGAGGAAGAGCTCCAGTTACCAGTCGGATTAATTTCTCACTGCTCCTCTCTGCTCTGCAGCTAAATTATTACCGCTCCTCATCAAGGCACTGTCACAGCACAACACTGCTCATTATCATGCAAATCCACAAGCATCTGAAGAACGTACACACACACACACATAGGTTACAGGCTACGACATGTGCACACACACATACGCAATCGCAGATGGCTTCATTCAACGTACTTCTGACGAGAGAATGATTATGCAAATATATGTGTGGAAATCTATATGTCATTGAAGACCTACTCAGAGTTGTGAGTCACTAATGAAACAGGGAGAGGAGGAGATGGACATAGAGAACGTGCTTTCCATCACAATGAATTATCAGTGTGGTCAGTGGAGGGGACGGCATGTTGTGGCTGAGCCGGAGACACGACTGAAGGCTGTGATATTATCCACGTATCATGTATCCTTTCATCATGTGGCGAACATCATCACCTTTTGTTTACGGTCTCTCCTGCTTGGCAGCAGTGTCCCTCTGTGATTGGTGGAAGGGACTGAAAGGATCCTCCAATTGGGGGGATATGCTTGCCTTAATGTGTTTGTTCACAAGGCAGGAGAAGAGCAGATATGTATTTTTTGAAATGTTTTCAGAATGTGACATGACATATACAAGAGACTCAATGTCACATATTTAAAAAAACAGAAATTTGGGCTCAAGAGAAAAAGGAGTACTGTAAACAGATTACAATTTTTATGTACAGTTGTCTGCAACCTGTTATTGAAGCATGAAATACAGGACTAAAAGAAAGCTTATCAGACTTTTTTCTTTGTGGTATAAGGGTTGTTAAAGCTATCAATATATTTAAACCTGCTGTATGTCTCAATTTGTTGTAGTGGTTTAACATGGTTTCACAAGCTAGCCTGATTTTCTTCATTTGTTGAATTTTAGTTGTTGGTTTACGGGGGACTGCTGGTGGTTGTGGGCGGTGGAGGGAGTGAGTGAAGGAGGGCAGTGTTTTGATGAGGAACACTGGCTGGAGTAACATCCAAATGAATTGCTGTATTTTGGTGGTAGACCTACAGGGACTTCTCCCGGCATGTTTACTTCTGTGTTGGCCACGCATGCAGCAGTAATTGTCATGGGCAGGGAGTGTGTGTGTGTGTGTGGTGTGTGTGTTTGAACCTGTACGTGTTTCAAACTGGAAGCTTTTTTCAGTGGTCGGTTTAGTTTAAAGATTAGAGATTTGGATTACTTCAGGTTAATGGTGTAGGTTAAGCATGTACTGGTAATGGTCTAAGGGTCAAGGTTACTGTTTACACTCAAGGTTACAGATTATCACACACGTGTGTGTATGTTTGTGTGTATTCTTGTATGTGTGTGTATTCTTGTATAGATATATCTTTGTGATGACCAACAACCTACAGTGAGGACATTTTGGGAAAGGGAGGACTTGTTGGCCGGTCCTCACTGTCTGACCCACTTTTAATGGGCTGTGAAGACCTGGTTTTAGGGTTAGAATTAGTGTTGTGTGTGTGTACACTTACACTTCTATCTTTGTTAGAATCTGATGGAGTGAGGACATTTTGGGAAAGTGGGAGCAGTCCTCACTGTCTGGCATACCTTTAGGGTTTGGACTTAGGCATTTATTTGAGATGCTTAAGGTTAGGCTAATGTTTTCAAATGTATGTGTTGAAGGCTTCAACCGAAACGCTGCTCATTCACTTGTAATGAGCTGACGTCATTGCCAAACTGCGTTGTGGTTCTGTGGCGTAACTCAACTTTTCGTGCAGCAACAGAGAACAATTATACTGTGCTGTTTTTGTATCTGGTTTTGGATTTCATTTCCCTTTACCATTTCATTTGCGTTTATCAGTCCAACGCCATGGGACGAGCAAACCCACCATCAAGCGTTAACGCTGATGTGTGAGTCCAGCACACAGGGTTAGGTGTGTACACGTGTGTTTGGGTCTTATAATTATTGTGTCAGGGCATTATAATATAGGATGGAATATTAATAATGTTGTCTACCTTTGCTGGCGGGCATCCTGTCTCATCTAATTGGACCTTTCTGTCTTGTTTCCATCACATTGATACTAAGCAAAATATTTTTTAACAAAGGTCATAACCTCTTTTTTAATGAGCATAGCAAACCTCTTGACGTTGCCATGAAACTCGACCTTTGTTGTCTGAACCTTTACAGTGGATATAGTTTCCAGTACAGACTAATTAGTTTGTGGAAACCAGCTCATAGATAAACCTTCCTGTCACATTGTACAAGCACTTGAGGTTGTAGATAATTTATTCAGTTATCACATCTTCTGCCAAATTGAACCTACGTGTCAGCTTGTTTGGTGCTCTGTATCAAATAAGAAGAGAATTTTATCAGTAATCATTAAGTACACTTAACTGCATCTTTCTCCAGACCACGGTCTAAGCTTATTCTGTTGACATCTGATATGGTCGTAATATACAAATTAAAACAAACAGGGCTCAGTACTTGATGATTGTGATGTCTACTGTCTGTAGCCAGGTGGAATTTCCCTTTCGACTTGATCATGAGTCACGACCAAGCAAATTTCCTCTATATTATTATATTCCACACATCTCTCACTGACGGATCCCACATATGTGATTTCTGTTTTGACGGGTAGAGTTTGTAAAAGTTGAATCAAAGCTTGATTTAAATGTTTCATCAACATTGTGTTCTATTACAGTGACGTTAAAGTGTTTTCTTTCCTGATTTTTTGGTCTCTCTTCATCATTCTCAGGGTCTAGATGAAGAGGCCATAGTTGACCATGGAAAGACCAGCTTCACCACTCACTCAAACTATGAGAAGGAAGAGTTGGAAAGTAAGTTTAAAGCCATTTTTCCATGTTCTTTTTTTTGAAGTTTGTGTATTATATGTAAAAACTCTCTTTATTTGAGTCCACCACTCCTCGTGTCTTCCTCACTCCCTTCAATAATATCTCCATTTATCCCATTCTTTCCTTGTGTGACACCTGTGGAGAACTCTGCTTTCTGTCCAGCTAAACTGTCAGTTTTCTTCCCTCCATCTTCTTTCATCTCTTGTATCTTTTCTCCCCCTCTCTTCCTCTTCCCTCCCCTCCATCTCTGTTTTCCTTCATCTCTTCAGCTCATGTCTCTTACTGTGTCCTCCGAGTGCTGCATCCTGGTTTTATTTCTCCTGGGCTTCCCCTCAAATCATAGAGAGAGAAACTCATCTGTGAAAAATTGGCAGTGTTATATAGAGCAAAAATAGGCCGTTTGCATCTTAGAGTTCCTGTGATGGAGTGAAAGTAATGAGGGGAAGTAGATAAAACATTTGCAGGAAAACAGAAGGGTTGAAAAAGTTAAATGCTGTTCTCTGGTTTCCTTCAAGTAGATTATGAAGAGCACTAAAAAGGAATGAAAAAAAGTTCTTTGTATTTTATCTCAAATGGTAGTGAGTCTGAAATTGTAAACTGTATTCCTTCCTTTAGGCTTAATTTTCTTGCAAAAATACTGTTCCTGCTTTTCTTTTTCTCCTTACCATTTACATTTTTCGGTTTGTGTGAAAGATGGTCTCAAAGGAAGGCCGTCTGATTTGTGTCTTTCTTGTCCCCAGGCCACAGAGCAGTATACGTAGGTGTCCACGTTCCTCTTGGAAGAGAGACCAAGCGGAGGCATCGCCACCGAGGACACAAACACCACCGAAAGAAAAGAGAGAGAGATGCTGAGGAGGGGAAGGAAGATGGCCGGGAATCCCCATCTTATGGTTAGACGCTGTTCTTAACACCAAGCACACAGAGACAATCCTCTAAATTAGTATTTCCCTTCTTCAGCTCTACTCTCAAGTCTTATTTTCGATTTAGTGCTTTTGGCCTTCAACTGTTTATGTTCATACACTGGCCAGGACTCTGGACTCGTCTCAGACAATAAACAGTACCCCTTGCAATCCAGAATAGATAGACCAGTATCTCAGGCTCTGTATACTTTTCAATATCTTTTTATAGGTTGTGGTTCTCTTGCAAATAGTTTTAAATTAGAAGTAAATACAAGCCCAGCAGCAAAGTTTGGGCACTCTACTAAGTCCCTTCTTCGTAAACGTAGCGTTTCTCTGCTTTTTAAACAGTCGTAAATAAAACATTCAGCTCTAAAAGGCATTTAAGGCCACAGGGAGCCAGCCACTGACACTGATTGAAGAGTGACATTTTCAGGGACGTGTCAACATGTTTGTGTGAGAAGTTACTGTATCACTTCAGCTGCAGGTACCCAAACGATGCCTTGAATGTTAACGGCAGTCATACAGAATTTTAAGCTCTCACTGAGGGCACAGTGCATCATCATTTATATGATAAATATTCAGCAAGAAGATTTTGTTCCATCCACACAGTTGGACCTAATGCTCGTTCACATAGCAGAGACATGCACTCATATGAATCTCAAATTTAAAAAAAATTGATACTCCCTTATTTCTTCCAGTCATTTCCATTACTACCTCCCTTGTAATATGCCTTATCTATTTCCGTCTTCTTCTATCTAATTCAGTCAGCCATCAAAAGAAAGTTCCTGTGCAGCATCTATGTTGCCATCTTTCTCCACAACCAAAAAATAAACACTTCCTCTCTTAGAAAATATTTAGAACAGTGTTCAATTCAACCATGTGTACTAGCTTAACTTCTCCTATCTTGCATTCACTGGCACTCTGCTGCATTTCTGGACTGTGAAATAGTGTTTAACCATGGGCTGTGTATTATTTCCCCCAGGACTCCTCAGGGTACCTTTAATAACACATGCTGCTTTGATTATTTTTGCTTTTTATCACTGTACACAAATATGATCTTTGTCCTTTGCGCACCCTGTGTCCAGACACACCCTCCCAAAGGGTCCAGTTCATCTTGGGTACAGAGGACGATGACCTGGAGCACGTCCCCCATGACCTCTTCACTGAGCTGGACGAGCTGTCCTTCAGGGACGGCAGCAATGCCACGGAATGGAAAGAGACTGCCAGGTCAGTAAAAAAACTTCAAACCAGATTTAGTTTGGTTTTGTAGTTCTGTTTAATGTTTCTCTTTAATACTCAGGAATACCGAAATAGTTCCCCACAAGCCACTCTTCACTGGAGAGCTTCAACTTTAACAGAGCTTTTATAAATCATGAATTATTATTTTATTATCAAATTAAGAACTTTGAGTTTTATATTGTAGTTGTGACTTGGCTGGCATTTCAGAGATTGTTCCTTTCCTGTTAAAACTTGTGTGTGTAGTAAGGGACAGATTAGGAGGATGACTCACTCAGTTTGCAGCTCTTCACTGTGCTCTGAAAAGTGAGATTTGAATTTGTGAATTAGCTGGGCGATATGAGCCGGAACGACATGTTCTTGAAAGATACACATTTATAACTCTATTGTTAATTGTCACTCTGTTCTCTACAGATGGCTGAAGTTTGAGGAGGATGTGGAAGATGGTGGTGAGAGGTGGAGTAAGCCCTACGTGGCTACATTGTCGCTTCACAGCTTATTTGAACTACGTAGCTGTATACTCAACGGCACTGTCATGCTGGATATGAGAGCCAACACTATCGAGGAAATCGCAGGTACATCTGATGGATGAATAATCAAATGATTCATTAGTCTAATAATATAATTTTCAATGCCCCATTCATGACTTCAATTTTCTTTGTGTGAATTTGTGGTCCTGCTTCTGTCCGACTCAGACATGTTGATAGACAGCATGGTGGCTTCGGGCCAGCTGAAGGAGGACCTCTGCTGCCAGGTGCGAGAAGCCATGCTGAAGAAGCACCACCACCAGAACGAGAGAAAGCTCAGCAATCGCATCCCTCTGGTGCGCTCCATCGCTGACATAGGCAAGAAACATTCCGACCCGCTCTTGCTTGAGAGAAACGGTGAGATCCTTTGAAGCACTCACATTTCTTTTTCCTCCACTTTTTTCACCACCGCGGGAACTGTCGCTAAAAATTCACTGTTCAAATCCCTCAATGCCAGCATAGAAGGTGGATGGTAAAAGTGAGTAAAATCTGGAGAATGATCTGTACTGAAGCGGTTCCCTTAGTGAAAGAGAAATCTGGGTGCTAATGATTGTGCTAACCTGTTTTGCTGGCCTGGCTTTGGGATTTGAAATAATGATTGTTTTCATTACTTGAGGTGACCATGAAATATTGCTTAACCTGCATTGTGTGTTTTTGATGGGCATGGCCACAGTGTTGTTAATGTATGCTCTGCATTTTAAGATCTTGGGCTCCATTCTGAAGTTTAGAGAATGAAAGAAAATATCACATTCTGCACTTCTGTGTGTGTAGTTCTTGCTGGGCTTCCACTGTCACGTCATTAAACCTGAAATACAGTTGTGAAAGGTCTACATTAATGGTGGGTGATGGTTGTAGTCGTAGTGTGAAAGTTGTGTGACCTGCACCGTGATTTATGACTGTCTGCAGCGGAGCACATGTTTGCTTACAGTGCACTGACGTTGTGCTAGGTCATCCCCTCCTGCATGCAAGCTGAAGTTAGGCCTGTGCCTCAGTTCAGTCACGCCGCCGTGTGATTGGTTTGTCTGGAGTTGAATAAGACAAGTGGCTTGGCCCTTGCAGACACTCCTACACGCATCACAAAACTATCCTTAGTGTCTTCTGCTCTCAACCTTGCTTTTTGCTCACGTTTCTGCAAGCACAAATCTCTCCAACTCTGCCACGCTCTTGCTGCCCACCCCTTCCGGCCGTGTCCCCAACCAAGATTCCATTTTTGTGATGTGTTCCTACTTCATGTGTTTTTTTCTCTTGGCTCCATCCCTTATTCCTTTTCCTTCTTTCCCTCCTGTTCTCTCTCCCCTCTCCTCTCCTTTTTTTGCCATTGTCTCCTCTGTTAGGAGAGGGCCTGTCCTCTTCACGTCTTTCTCTCCACAAGCCAGGGGCATCCTCCTCTGTCTCCAACCTGTCCCAGAGACGAGAATCCCGAGTCTCCGTCCTGCTCAACCACCTCCTGCCCTCTTCTTCCTCCAACACTGGGTCCACCCTAGGCCCCTCGCCCCTCACCACCCCACAAAGTACCCCAGCTTTCTTCCGGCGCTCCTCCCAAAGCCCACCACGCACCCGTGGCACAGGCCCTGGCCCTCAAGGCATCCCCGAGGTGGTGGTATCTCCTCCAGAGGATGACGACCCACCAAACTCGACAGAAGATGAGGCAACATCGCCACAGCTCAGCCGACGAACATCCTTGGCATCCCAGAGCCTCGAGCTGCTGCCCTTAGAAGGCAAATATCTGTGTAGCCTGCCAGTGTGAGTCACGGCTTGAACAGAGAACACTAGCACTAGCATGAAAGCTCTGCTCCCCGTTAACTTGTAATGCTCCAACCATGCGGGCCATCTCATCAATAACCCACAGCAAGGCTCTGTTGCTAAGGCGCACTCCCCACTGTATATTATCCACTAAGTTTTTAACATTTCTCTCCTCCACCTCATGATTCTTGCTTCTCTCCCTTCTCTGTTTCTTTCTGTCTATTCCACTGTTGCTCTTGCTTTCCTGAAAACTCCTTATAGCTTGCTTTGCTATTCAAAAATCTGTCTCTCTACATATTCTTAAGACATGCCTCAGCATCTTTGCCTTGCTGGGCCCTGTCCCCGTTCCAGCCTCCTTCATTGTGATTGCATGGTTGCCTTCAAAATATTCTGCTCTGTCTGTGTCACACTTCATCATGTGTCCTGTGACGTTTTACTTTGTTGAGCTTCTCATTCAGGTTGTTTCATGTAAGATCTGTGAGTAGGAATCACTTGATCACATTGTTCCTTTTTGCCACTTGACCGTCTGAGGCATTTGCGTAATTCGGTTATTCAGGAAACATTTACTTATATGAAAATCAGTCAAGCCAATTTAGTGGGTTTATGCAGCAGAATTATTAGGAAACTGTAAATTGAATCTCAAATTTTCAAACAGTTTGTTATGAAATGTAAATGCCTGATATCCATAGAGAGCTTTTGTATAGGATTTAGACAGAGGGCTCTATCTTACACTTAGTGCAAGGCAGCAGCAAGCATGACACAAGAAGTGTCTCTGCTAGTTTTCATTTTCCCGCTCAGAAACGACCTTCAAATAGAAAATGCTCAAGCCATCGAGCTTCCATGTTGGTTCATCAAATTAGACGTTGTCTGATTGGTTTATTTAATGTTATGCACAAAACACAGTGACGAATAATTAAAAGACAATGACAATTGACAATTGAAGCATTCACCAGGTACCGTGAAAACCTTTTTCTGCCTTTAAAGTAGAATGGATTTGGATACATCGTTGATGAACTTGCCCCAATGCATTTTAGACCGTTGGCTTAGATCATTAAAATAGTCTTGAATCTCGACATTTTGCTTGAACTCCAGGAGGTAATGCAAAGCTGCTCTTTACTTGTTGACATTCTCTCTCACTGTAGATGTCATTAATTTGAACTCATGGCTGCAGTTTATTTTTAGTGTTGGTCTGCTGCTTAATCACATCATTGTATTATGTTAATTGAGGCCTTTTTTAAATAATTGGATTAGGCACCAGTAAATGACAACATGCCTTCATCCCCTGCAGATAGCTGCTCATAACATCCTTAGCTGGTAAGTCATTAAACTTGAGTTACGATGTATAGAGACTGATCTAAAACATCCTTTATCCTCAGGTGACTGCCTCATTTCAAGTACACACAAATATAACATTCATGCAACTTGTTCCATTCGCATTGCACCATTTGGCACCCCTGCTCTTTGTGTTCATCAATTCCTGAACAAACATTCTTTTACCCGAATGTTGCAGCAGCCCGGCTAAATCAAAGCCCAGACCAGGGTGGGTGTGTTAGTGCTATCATAGCGGCAACTAACAGTGACTTTTTGTTCTCCCCAAACCAAGCCATGTCCGTTTATTATTAGACTGTGTGCGTGTGCATGTGCGTCTGTTTGCTTCACTCTGGGAATGGCTCCATTTCAAAGTGTGGGTCATTAAAAGCAGTGATCACTTGGCGAGAGTTGAATCTGAAAGGTTGGGGTGGTCTTATTATAGCTGACGAGCTTCAGTAATTGTACCCCTTCTAGGAAAATATACAGTATTTCCCAAGAGGCATGCATCATGACATCAGTGTGTGGGTTATTTGGAGGGAGGGGTTCTAGCCTTCATCGTCACAGTTTAATAATGTGCTCTCTAAGTTGTAAAAAATTGAACTGTTGTACAGCAATGGTGTCTAACATTTGTTAAATAGGGATACAGTGTTTGACAGTAAAATGCCCTGAATGTGTCACTAAGAGGAATTTGTCTGGATGCCAGAAATAGCTGGCTTACAGGTTTCGAACAGACGGCTATGCAGCGACGTGCTGTAGATCTTCTTAGAAGTTATTTGACATGCACTTGAATAGGACTGAGTTGTCCATATAGCTTCTTTATACATAATCCTACATTGAACCCACTGACTATGAAGTCCTGGGTGAAACAGAAACCGTGGAGAATTTATTTTCTAATTAAGAACTGTAGATCACCAGCAGTAGATCTCAGCTCACTGAGTAAACACATCCATGCAGCTACTAGACAATATACTTTAAGAACTGAGTATCAGTCCCAGTGCAACCAGACCCACATAGATTCCGATTTGTTATTTGGTTTCCTCTTTTCTGTTGCATGTGAATGAGAAGTGTGACACCAATGTTTCAAGGGCTGGTATGAGGGAGCATTCCACGGCTTAGCCTTCCTGAATGAAGTTTGTTTACGGACACAACCTTAGCTAATCCCCCCCTTATTCCAAGAGGCTTTGTCGGGTATGTGAGCAATCATGCTCCTGTTCAGCAATCGCAGCTACCCAGAATCCACAGGGGTACAGTTCAAAGGTATGGCTTACTGGCCAGAATGCATGCAGGGAGAAACTGCACATTTAAATGGATTTGGGATTATATGCTGATGAGATTGTGGCACAATAATTAAGATGTTATAAATGTATTTAGTTTTTTTTTTCCTTTATGGCAAAAATGAGAAATTTGTGGAAAAACCTGGTAAAAGAAGTGTTACTTCAGAATTTCAGAGAATAGTGTTCATATGCTATTCTTTGATTCAACACATTACGCCCTCATTTCATCTCCCCCTCTCATGTCAACTCAAGTGCTAGCGTTTCCTGTGTCTGGTTGGCTCAAATCACTTAAGCAGTGTTGAAGCATTTCTGCAATTTTCGCAGTTGTCAGAAGAAGGTGAATTGTCAGGCAAACACTTCCACTCAGATTTAGCTCAAAGCTGACATGAATTCAAGCTAAGCAGGACGGACTTAAGCACCAGAGTAATGAGCTTAACAGACAGAAATCTGACGGCAACGGTGCTGAGTCAAAAATATCCTCACTTTAGCTGAGCCATTACAGTGTCGGAGAAATCATCACATCTAGCTTGTAATGGTAGTGGTGGAAGAAAACATTTTAATCTACTACCTCAATAGGGATTATTTAGTTTTAACAAGTCGTATCTTTGTATGTTATCAGTTTGATCACAACTTTATTTTATATCAGTCAGCTTCTGAAATGCAGTTCACTACCGTGTGCAAAAGGAAACTGTTTCTCATCCCATTGAGATGTAAAGAAATTTGCAGGATAAAGTTTTGTCATTTGATTCTATCTCAAAGCGAATAGTGGAGAAATGAACTGGATATATCCTGGTTGGCAGAAACACTATCCAGGGCTGATAAAACTGGTTATTTGAGGAGTATAGTTAACTGTACATCTTTAATTTCTGAATCTTTCTTTATCTTTTCAAGATAAACACACCTTGACATTTTATTTTCATTTCTTCCTGATTAAAATCTGATTAGGGAGAAAAATGAAAGACAAATGACATTTAATAATGCCTTTCACATTCAGACTTTTATCGTAAATCTCGCAGCTTTTCTCTGCCGGTTATTTCCTCTGAAGTCCTTACACACTGTCAATCATCGCTTTGTCTCTCCCTGTTCCTCCCAGGACCATTGATATCTCCGAACTCCGTCCCAAACAACCTGGATGGCAATAAGGCTGTGGAGAGGAGGCCATCCAAAGTAGGGGTCAGTAGAGAAAGCAGCAGTGTCGACTTCAGCAAGGTAACCTAACCACAGTACTGAGCACAGAAACTGTCTCTCATGGTGGAGGGGCCCATGACCAAGTCCATCTGTGTTTTTCTTCAGTTTCTGGACATTCACAGACATTTCAGTGGCCTGTGTTGAAAACTGCCTCTGTGGGAGCCAATGTGACATTACACATCATCCCTCCTCCCAACAAACTAAGAATTGATAATCAAAATAAAAGTGGTTATGTAACTGTGTTTAGCTTTAAAAAAATTCCTCCCTCTCATGGCCGCCATCCATCCGACCATTTTTCAGTTTGTAATCCATAAAATAATGGCATCCATTGTGACTGCCAGAAAATATGACGCAGTGTTAACATAAGCCACAGGACACAAAAGAGGAATGAAGGCACAGTATTTGCTACACAGATTTAAAAATATGTTGCCTTACTCAAATCTGTATTCAGCCCTTGTACCCAAGAGATATGTATTCAGGGAACATGATAAGAAATGCATCACTGCAACAGACATCTTTGCTCAGTACTATGTAGTTCTTAGGATAGCTACTAACTTTCCTCATTTGTTATCATAGCTAACGACCTGCTGCCATCCCTTCCATTCCCACCTCTTCTTCTCTTTTTGCATGTGTAAACTTCTGTGACACTTCCTGTGACCTACAGTATAGTCTGTTATTGTTTAGCACAACTTCCTCTCCTTGGTCTCAGTATTTGCTCTGTTTTATTATGAGTATTTGTCATCTAATTCCTCAATTTAATTCGTTCTTTCGGTTTTAGGTGGACATGAATTTCATGAAAAAGATTCCTCCGGGTGCTGAGGCTTCCAACGTGCTGGTGGGAGAAGTGGACTTCCTGGAGAAGCCCATTATTGCCTTTGTGCGACTGTCTCCTGCGGTCCTTATCACAGGCCTCACAGAGGTGCCTGTTCCCACGAGGTACACTGAATAGGAATTGAATGATACCAAACTTAATGAATTATTAGATATTCCATAACAGTCACCATTTTTTTTAGAGGTTATTAAACTTTGGCTGCATCAGAGACATTTGTGAAAGTCCTTTTTGCATGGAGCTAAAAAAAACATGGAGGTTTACCGTGTTTCTGACAGTGGTTGGATGTCCACAACACCATTTTTTCAGATCTTAATCTTTAAAGTAACATATCTAAACAAGTCTAAAGCACATGGAGCTAGTGCATGTAGAGCAATAAAAAAAATAAATCCTTGCACAAGTTTTGCAAGAATGGATACACACAAGGCAATTTTAGTGAGAAATTATGAAACCGATATAACTCCACAGTGTCATTAAGTGAATGCAGCGCCTTGTGTTGTGAGTAGTATTGCAGTTACTGTGGTTTATGGTGAATTAGAGTTTGACAGTGTGTCTTGTTCAAAGGTTTCTTTTCCTGCTTTTGGGTCCTCACGGCAAAGGCCCGCAGTACCATGAAATTGGCAGATCAATGGCCACACTCATGACAGATGAGGTAAGAGCTAGAGTCTAATTAAATTAAACTGTCAAAGAAATGTCTACACTGTCCTCACTCTTGCTTTTGTCGTGAATAATTTTAACTTGTAAGTACAGAGTTATTCAATAACTGCTAATAATATACATTTTGTAGATTTTCCATGATGTGGCGTACAAAGCCAAAGACCGAACGGATCTCCTCTCTGGGATTGACGAGTTCCTTGATCAAGTGACTGTCCTGCCTCCTGGGGAATGGGATCCCACGATTCGGATCGAGCCTCCCAAGAATGTCCCATCTCAGGTTAGTGAACCTCTTTGTCCAAGATAGTGTTAGATTTGCCTGGGTGGTGTTGGTGCAGAGATCATTACTTAGCTGCACACTAACAAAATAGACACTTGCTTGACCTTGAATGATGTATTTAAGTCTTGTCCCAGAAACTGTAATCTAGAAGTTGACTTCCCAAACTTTCCTGTGTGTTTATTTCTGTACCTATCATTTTAATTCGAACCACTATATTCACACACAGAGTGCCCTCTTATGGATAAAAAGCATCATGACAGCAAAGGGATTTCAATGCATGGAGCCGTATTATATATAGACATCTTTTGATCTACAGATGAAGAGGAAGAGACCGTCCCAGCCCAACGGGAGTGCGTCTCCAGCAGGTGAGCTGGAAAAGGATGAGGACCATCATGAAGGACCTGAGCTGCAGAGGACGGGGATGTGAGTATTGTCCATTTCTTGGCACAGTAACAACTTTAAATGATCATTTCTCAAAGCAAAAGGACCTCACTCACTCTAATAATTTATAATATCACTTGAGTGTGTTGACAAAGAAATATTTGATCATTAAAGCTCACCCTAGTGGAATTAACAAGTTCATTAGTCAGAAGGCAGGCATGTGTAATATATCATGATGATCACACTCAGACAAGTAACTGATGATAAGAAGAGCCGCAGGAAAAAGCTCATTTGAGAGACCAAAGACCTCATCTTATCATCTTCAGTTACAGAGACTTATTATTGGCAAGAATAATGAAGAAGATGATGAGATTAATCACAGAGACATTAGCTGAAGGATTTTTGCAATATGTTTAACCCAAACAGTAGACAGCAGTCATACTTGATCTGTTAGCACCATTTTTTTAATCAGAGCTTTTGGATTCCTCACATATCACGAGTCTGGAATCTGAAAATCTATGACGTACGAGCTAAATGCTACTGTGTTTGTGCAGATGTTTTTCTACCGTGCAGTATGGACCTCAGATGCTGACATTTATGGATATCTCCTGCTGGGTCTCTAGAGTCCAGGCCACACAGCCAGGACAATGTGTTTATTTTAAACCTCAGACAGACTCACGCACTCTGCACACACACAAACACACCAGTCGAGAGGCACTGTATTATTTACAGATTCACTCTCCTTTTCACTGCTACTGTGAGAAGGAGCTATTCTGGGACAGAGGAGTGTAGGGAGTTGGAAGAAGCCAATTTAAAGAAAAGCTCAAAGAAAATCAGGGTTTACATTAAAAAGAGGGACAGAGAACAGAGGAGGTTGATGAAGCAGGCAATAGAGGTATTCCAGAGGTTTCTGGAAAAAGAAAATGAAAGAAGACATCACAGCCGAGCAATTGTTCAGGTGTCACAGAAGAGGGGAAAAAAGATATGCAACGTGAGAAATGAATTTAAATTCTCTCCACGGCAAAGTCAAAAAAAGAAAAAGAAGCAGAACCAGAGAGAAGAAGTGTGGATAGGGAGTAATTCAAGGCAAACAGTGTCTGGATTTTGGTGCTGAACATTATTAATTGGCTTAACTCCCAGCAAATGGAAACAATTGTTGTTCAGGGAAACGACCAGATGCAAAAACATTTCTTACCAATTAACCATGTGAAAAAAGTAAATTAGCACTTTGAGCAACATTACACTTTTAATCACCTTATGTTATCAAACACGCTGCATTGAATTGATTTCAACTATTAACAGAGCAACATGAATTTACACATCGTAAGAATTCACAGAGTCAACTACTTCAATGTTTTTAACCATTTACCTCATTGATTTCTGAAACTTAACTGCTTCATTTTGTTTTATGTGATGCTCACTCAGGCGCATCCACTTGACTCTTCCCATTCTTCCCATGAACTCACTGATGTGTATTTTTCCCTGCCGCCAATATTATGTGAACTTTAAGATCTACCTCTGTCCTCCCTTCAGGATATTTGGAGGTCTGATCTGGGATATCAAGCGGAAAGCACCGTTCTACTGGAGTGACATCAGGGACTCCTTCAGTCTGCAGTGTCTTGCCTCCGTCCTCTTCCTCTATTGCGCCTGCATGTCCCCCGTCATCACATTTGGAGGTCTGCTGGGGGAGGCCACAAAAGGCAACATAGTGAGTCTGAATACTTAGCTTGAGCGTCTCAATATGATGAGACATTGGCACAAACTAAAAAGTCAAACAACACCATTTTTCTCAAAGATGGATTCTGTTAATTTGGGTAATTCCACTGCTGGATGTCAAACTGTTCCTTTTCCTAGTCATTTGGTTTTATTACTTATTTGATCTTTTTTATGGCTCGATCCTCTGATAGCTATTAAATAGTTGCCAAATAAAAATTGGAAAAAGATAGCAGCATTCTCATCCAGGATACTTTTGCTTTATTTCTGTATAGTGGGAGGCAGTGGAGCCCTTCACATCTAAATGAAGCCTATGGTCCATCCTAGTTAATAACATCATTACGGTTTCACAACAAAGACACACATTGTCCTTTTCTGATTATCCTATTTGTCACTTTTTTAATAAAGCAGCTCATTTAGTGTGTCAGGAAGAATAGCCATTATCTTTCACCCACATCAGCGTTCTGTTATAGACTCATTTGAGCACATGTCTTTCACTGTGAGGTCTTTATTCACTGGCTAAAAAAAGGATGTGATGATTATTCATCCTCCCATGGACTAATCTGTTATCACTCTGTAATCTATTCTATAGGGTATCTGTCTTTTTATTACTGTCCGTACTAGACCGGGGCCTGTTGGCATAGGCACAGCCTGTGTGCTGGTGTGTGTGATGCGTCCGAGTAAACTCAGCAGGCGAGCGCTCCACAGAGATATGACTTTGGACAAGTCAGCAGAGTGGAAACATTCAAACAGTTTGTCGAGCTTCTCAGTCGCAGGCCAGTGTCTGTTTAATCAAAACTCGTCTCTTTAAATCATCCCTCTCTTTTCTCCTTCAGCCTTTCCCTGTCGATTCTCCTTTGTGTGATTTCATCTCCCCATCCTCTATTTCTCATCCCCTCACGCCCTCCCTCTCCTCTTCGTCGACAGAGTGCTATAGAGTCTCTATTTGGGGCGTCGCTGACAGGAGTGGCGTACTCCCTCTTCGCAGGCCAGCCCCTCACTATTCTTGGCAGCACGGGGCCCGTTTTAGTGTTTGAGAAGATCCTCTTCAAGTTCTGCAGGTTTGTCCAAGCAAGTTAACTTTTCCCATCAAGATGAAATAATAGTATAATATAATAATAATGGTCGTCATAGCAATGTAGTGTTGCACATGTATACCTCTATCCATTCTCCTGCATGTCGTCTTTGCCTTTCTCTCCTAGCGACTACGGCCTCTCCTACCTGTCACTGCGAACCAGCATCGGCCTGTGGACAGCCTTCATGTGTCTCGTCCTGGTGGCGACAGATGCCAGCTCCTTGGTCTGCTACATCACCAGATTCACAGAGGAGGCCTTTGCCGCGCTCATCTGCATCATCTTCATCTACGAGGCTCTAGAGAAGCTGTTTCACTTGGGGGAACACTACCCTGTCAACATGCACAACGACCTGGACAATCTTACTCTGTATTCGTAAGTACTGAGATTTCTCCTTTAACTATTATAATCACTCAGTATAGTATACTATTTCAGGTCAAATGTGGAGCAGGAATAAGCTTTTGTTGCTGAACACTGTAATTGTGTTGGCTCAAGCTTTTCCACAGAGCTTAACTGAAAATGACTCCCTTTCAAAATAATACATTTTAAACCAAGTAATGTTCTGTTTTTAAAATCAAAATGAACCTAGAAGTGTTTCTGCATAGGATCAAGGTGCAGAATTGACTTGGCGTTTGCTCCTCAGGTGTCAGTGCTCTCCTCCAGCCAATGTCACATATGAGCAGGAGCAGAAGTGGAATCAGTCGGGATACAGCCCAGACTCTGTCCCCTGGGGCAGCCTCAATGTTTCGGTGAGGAAAGCACACAGTGACCTCCAGTGTGACGGGCTGTAATTACACCCACACTCACTCACTGATTCATATGGGTTTAATCAGGCACATGAACATACGTGTACTGCTCCTATTTACACGACTAAGCTGCCATTAACTGCTCATCTGAATTAGCTTTACAATATTTTGCCTTTTTCTCTAGATGTGTAAAACGCTCCATGGGGAGTTTGTGGGTCCGGCCTGTGGTCACCATGGTCCCTACATCCCAGATGTTCTCTTCTGGTCGATCATCCTCTTCTTCACCACCTTCTTCCTCTCCTCCTTCCTCAAGCAATTCAAGACGGAGAGATATTTTCCCACCAAGGTGAGATTTTTTATGTGCATCTGTTTTATTTTACTGCCAACAAAACAGATAGTGGATTTTAAAAACTTAAACTTACAGTAAGATTTTTAATTAAGTAAGTTAATATTTGAATAAGATGTTTTCTATGTTTCTGTGAGTGCAAGTGTGTGTTTGTCTCGATAAAACCCTCTCACACTGTGTAAATGTTTACATTGCATCACTCATCAGTATGCAGGAGCAGTCTCATGCACAAAAAGAAAAGATCATGTTGCATCCTCCCACACATTCGCAGCTACTCTGTTATCACTTGGTGTTCTGTGTTGGTATTGTCTGAACTGTTATGCTGTTACTGTCGACACACATGTAATTAATATGACATTTGAAACACAGTAGAAAGTACACACAAGCTCATATCACATCTCTGAATAAATATATTTTTGTTTGTAGGTGCGTTCCACTATCAGCGACTTTGCTGTGTTTATAACCATCATGATCATGGTGCTGGTTGACTATCTAATGGGCATCCCATCTCCGAAACTGAATGTTCCCGACCGCTTTGAGGTAGGCATCTCTTCCAGTTTGTATTTCTATCTCAATCCATGGATGTCAAAATTAGAAAAGTGGAATTTAAATAAAATAACTGTACCCTCTATATCCTCATTCCTTTGTAAGGACATTTCTCCATTTACTGCTTAAACCTAATGAATGTTTACATTATCACATATTCTCAAATAAATCCTTAATGGCTTCAACACTAAAAGTAGCACGTCACTGCCTTTTGCCTCCAGCCTACTTCAAAGAACCGAGGCTGGCTAATGGACCCGCTAGGAGAAAATCCCTGGTGGACTCTGCTGGTGTCTGCACTTCCTGCCCTGCTCTGCACCATCCTCATCTTTATGGACCAGCAGATCACTGCAGTCATCATAAACCGCAAGGAGCACAAACTCAAGGTCAGACCTGCCTGCGGAGATTTACTTTAGCCAGTGTTCCATCTTAAAGACACACGCAGTCAAGTTTTCTCAAGTGTTCCAGGCTCTTATATTGCCTTTTAAATAGTGCTAAGTAAAACTGTGCTGTATCTAAAATGTAAAAATAAAACTGAAGGATCACAACAGTCATAAAATATCTGAATAAGAAATATCAAAAGCAAGTGGTTCCCCCAAGATACTGCAGAGTCATAACAAGCTTTCTGGGTAGTTATTTTATCCCAAAATAAATTAAAAACTATATTGGTTTTTTCAAGGCAAATCAAAGAATGTAATTGCATTGTTGACTAACTTAATGACAATGTAAGTATATTCTGCTGTTGTGTTTGTTGAAGCCCGGACATTTGAAGTGCATAGATACTTTTGTAATGAAGACTTTACCAACTAAACCCATTTTCTACCCAATCTGTCTGTTCACCTGCTTTTTTCACATGTTCTTTTTACATGGTGCAGCCTCCAACTTGTTTTCTTTCAGTCTGTACTTTGGTATCTCTTCACCTCTCTCATCCTCTGTACCTTGCTCATCTCTTACCACTTCTTTCTATCATCCTGAATTATGATTGAAGGCAAACTATTCTCTCGTCTTGTCCCTTCCTCTGTTGTAGTAGTAGTCTTTTTGCTTCTCAGATTTCTACATTGGTACTCTTATAAAAATAAACTCAACCCACCTTGAAGTTTCCAAGTATGCTTTGGCAAATTAAATTCTGATTATGCTCCTTGTGCTTTGTAATTCTGTTATTTTTGTACAATTGCTCCACAGGGACAAACACTCATCGCTGGTCTTACATCTCTCAACTGTCACTTGTTTCCTTGTGTGTCCTACAGAAAGGCTGTGGCTATCACCTGGACTTGCTGATCGTGGCAGTAATGCTGGGTGTGTGCTCCATTATGGGCCTGCCGTGGTTCGTGGCTGCAACCGTCCTCTCCATCTCCCACGTGAACAGCCTGAAGGTGGAGTCTGGCTGCTCCGCTCCAGGAGAACAGCCCAAGTTTCTGGGCATTCGAGAGCAGCGTGTCACTGGGTTCATGATTTTTGTCCTCATGGGTTGTTCCGTTTTCATGACGTCAGTGCTCAAGGTGAGATGGTTTTATCACTGGAGAAAATCCTTGCAAAAATAAATTACACTCTCCTGGGCTTCTGTCTGATTTCACTTATTATAAATCAAAATGACCCAGTTTTCGGAGCATTTTCCAGACTTTGACTGTCACATAAGAAGAAGTATGGTCAGACACACAAACAGAAGTTTCAAGAACATTCATGCAAGGGGAGGTGCCTGGGTAAAGCAGCATACATTTTTCAGTTTTGAGTCCATTTCATCAACACGCTGTTTTTCCTCCTGCATTCTCACATTGGATCCCTGGAACTTTTAAGGTTCTGGAAAATGCCGGGAGTAACTGACTGATATGTAGTCTCACATACAGCCCATAAGCAGAATTTCTGGAAAACATCAGGAGTTCAGTGCATGTCTCAAAGCAACAACAGCCATATGACTTACATTAGACACGGATATTCAAAGCCGCTCACTTTTTCTACCTATGCAGTTTTTCCTCGTTCAACAGAATACCTGTTATTTTTTTCAGTTTTGCTGAATATCTTTATTTATCATGTAGTTATTTTGTGTCATTTCACTTCTGCTCTTTACAGTTCATTCCAATGCCAGTGTTGTATGGAGTCTTTCTCTACATGGGTGTCTCCTCCCTCAAAGGAATTCAAGTAAGTCTCTCCTCTGCTGGTCTTTGAAGATAATAAGCTCCTCAGTTCTGAACAGAAGAGCAGTCACGAGCTGTTAGTAAAGATAAGTTTGGCCCCTGTGGCTCCAGCCCTTTGATCGTAATTCAGCATCCTTAAAAGCTTTTGTTGAATGTGTTCCAGCTCCTGAATAACGTATTGAGTTTTACCCGATCCTCGTCAGACCTTATCTTTCCGGCCTTTTTGTGATTTGCATATCTTATTTCCCTCGCTGAGTCTCTTCCCTCTCATTTTCTCTGTAGTTCTTTGACAGAATCAAGTTGTTTGGTATGCCTGCCAAGCACCAGCCGGATCTGATCTATCTCCGCTATGTGCCGCTGTGGAAGGTCCACATCTTCACCCTGGTGCAGCTCACCTGTCTGGTGCTGCTCTGGGTCATCAAGGCCTCTGCAGCAGCTGTTGTGTTTCCCATGATGGTAAAGACGTCTCTCATTTATTCATCACTTCACTACAACAGGATACGATTAGTTATCAAAGACATAGATGCAGATAGTGTCACCCCCCCCCCCTCCAGATTAGAGTGTGGAATGTTTTCCTGCTAAATAAGAGCTCAGAACAGAACCAAAAATATTCCTCCATAATCCTTATACCACATGTAGGCTACAGTTTGAGGCTTCCTCGTAAAAAATAAAATAAAACTAGAAACAACTGTGGTGAAAAGTAAGACACAGGATTTCTTTTCTTTGACTGATGACAACAATGTTGTGCCGTCGCTTGTGGAAGTGGAATCATGATGCATAATGCGTGTGACCACATCTCTGCTCATGTTTGTTTTCATGGTTACGTTGCCACAAGGTCCCACATCCTCTGTAAACTTCTACTCCTTTGATGTGTTCAGTAGAGCTGGGTCTAAACAGATACCTGTGAATTCACAACAGGAAGTTTAGTCTGAGGACGGTTTTACTTGAAATTAGGTTTTTACTTGTTTAAAATGAGAAACTAACCATTTAATCCTTAAACACTTTCCCAGTATCAGTAGACATATGTTTTATCATATTTTTGATATGAAGCCTGTGATAATAGTTCTCTTGTCTGTGTCTCCAGGTTCTGGCGCTGGTCTTTATCCGAAAGCTTCTGGACTTTTTCTTCACCAAGAGAGAGCTGAGCTGGCTGGACGACTTGATGCCAGAAAGCAAGAAGAAGAAAGAGGATGACAAGAAAAAGAAAGCTCGAGAAAAACTGGTAAACACTCATATTTATGTCTTCACGCCAGTGTCCGGAGACATTATGTTTTCAGGCTGTACGTCACAGAGACTCAAAGATGACCTGAATAGAATTTGGTGGCCAAAGTCAACGGCGGCTTCAAAACGTGTTTTTGTCCTCTTGAGATTTGATATCTCAAAACTGCTTGAGGTAATTTCTTATCAGTTATCACAGTGACACCGCTTCAACCCTCGACTCCATCTAGAACATTCTAAACTGAACGTATTCAGACTTCGCCCTCAGTCACAGAACTAAAGAAGCTTAAAGTCCAAACTTAAACATAGCATAACATAGCATTCAATATTCAAAGCTTCAAACAAAACATTGTGAAACATTCCATTAACTCATATTACTCTATTTACATCCAACTTTCGACCCTGTGTGATCATAAACCAGTGTTATGTCATAATATCCAGCCAAAAAGACGGCGATGCACGAGCCTCGACGCAGTAACAGCTGTTTTTTAAATGTATGCTTCCGCTGCTGTTTTCACCCAGGAGGCGGAGTCCAGGCTGCAGGAGGAGGGGATGGGACTGAAGGTCGGCTTTGAAGGCTCGAACCACCTCAGCATCCCAGTGAAATCACTCTCAGGGAGGTGAGCAGTGCAGCACAGAAACCACACACTGACACCCAATTCTAGAATGAAAAGCAGCTCAAATACTTCATGACTCACTAAGAGTATCCTATTTCTATTTGTAGCGTAAGGCAATTTAATCTTTTCTGCATGTCTGATCCAGAAAACCAGTCCAGAATCTAAAGCTGTGAACGCATTTTCAGATGCTTCATGTCTTATACAAGCTGAAATGGTTTCTCTGACTGTGGTCGTCAGCTGTGTGTTGTTATGTCCATCTTGAACAGATCATACAGAATAGGACTAGTGACCCACAGCCTTCCAATGGAAGAAGAGGTAGCAGGGCTGTGTCTGACCCACATGGCTGCTCTCTAACCTCGCTCACTGATACTCAGACACTTAGCGCATGGCCACAACTGAGGAAAACACACTGCTTTGTGTGTTCTTGTTGTTGTGTGCTTTTTTTGTTTTGTGGATGAATGACCTGTGATGAAATGTTTAAGCGATTTGATTCTTGTGTGATTAACTAGTGAAGTTCACACAATCAACTAATACCTGGTGCTTCTAATGCAAAGGGACATTTCTGTGTTATCTGTCTTGTCAGCTCTGATTTTTAATTTGCATTCATTTGTAATTCCTTTGCATGTTTGTGTCTGTTGATTTGATGTCTAGATGCCTGTCTCCTTATTTTTGTGTTTGCATTTTAGCATGTAGTCCTGATTCTGACCTCTTGGTTTTAAACATCTCTGATGAAATGGACAAAATATCCACAAATACAGATGTGAACTCAATTCGTGTGCCCGACCAGAGACGTGCAGCGGAAGGTGTCAGGGCTATCAGAAGTTTTCTTGCTCTCAGCTGCACGACTTTAATATGATAACATAAACTAGAATGGCACAAACCAAACGACCAACAGTCGACTTATGAAAATACATTTAAATTCACAAGATCTGGATTTTTATTTGGATCTGCACCAAACTGCACAAATAAATATCTGTCCCCTAATCATGTCTATTTTTTTCAAGATCTGCAAATCTTGAGAATAAATGAAAATGTCAGTGTTAAAGAAAGTAAAAAAAAAAAATCCAGACTTTAACAGGTTCTTTTTTCCTTCTCGTTTCATGGAAACCTGTCCAGTAGTTGTTTATTACCTGCTAACTAACAAACAAACAAATAGATCTAGAAGGCATCCAGTACTGTGCATATGTCCGCCAAGGCTTTTTCCTATTATAGGAATATTAAAAAAAAAATTTGGTATAGCCCTCAAAAGTTAAAATTTCTCAATGTGTTTAAATAATTTTATAAGGAAAACATTTTAACGTGTATTTGATCGATGTTCATCGCAGTGAAGAGCACAGTCCTCACACTCGCCCTCTCATCCCTCGGGCATAGTTTGGGTTGTAAAATCAAAGGAGTTTGCATCTTAACAGAATCTGACATTTTCGGCTGCTCTCCACTCACAGCAACGTCCGAAGCATTAATCTTGTCTCTGAATCTCCGTCTCAGCCAGGAGAAGGTGGCCTGCGTTAGAGTGGACGTCAGCCCCGAATCGCCTGGAGGAGGTTCCACTGCAGAGACCTTCCTGTGATAAAAGGGAGGCCCTCCTTCCCTCCTGCTACCTTCTCGCACACCAACACTCCATCTTAGTGGGAAAGAGGGGCGTAAAACTGAAGCAGCACAACCTGCCTGCAGAGCTGCCACCTCCAGGGCGGCGGACGAGCTCCCTCCCCTACACCCCAGGGCTGTGAGTCCTTCTCCACTCAAGTCTTGAAGGGTGCAGCACATAATGTACAAATAGCTGCCATGATGTACTGTAGAGCACACGTCTCAGAGGAACGGAGGAATTCTGCTGTCAACTGCCCACCGACGCTCACTGTTTAGGAACTCTCTCTAGCAAATCACCTGTTCAAACCACAGATGCCAAAGTAAGGGGCCTACCTAGTGGAGATTGTTGGACTGTATGAATTTGATTTTATTTCTAACCCCTTGTGTATTTTAATTTTAACTTTACTGTCATTGTTTTAGCTGGTCGCAGTACTGTAGATGTCTGTGAGTGGTCCTGTCCCGTTTGTCTCTGTGTGTTTCAGGTTGGATTAAGACCTTTCGCTAAACGACACCAGCTTCTAACACTCGTTCGATTATGAGGCCAGGCCCCGTCAGTGACGGAGGATTTAATTTCAGAATTGGCCTGGCGCATTACAGTAAACAACACAAACCAAAACCAAGGTACGTTCAGTCAGACGCCACACGACTACTGCATACGTCTTTATAGACTTACTTACAAATACCTTCCCCTTCCTCCAGGGGGAGCACTCAGTGTTGATAATGCTGCTTTAAAAGTCGGTCAGTTTATTTTCACTGTAAACCTCACTGTTTATATGATATGTGCTGTTAAAGAAATATCATTATATGTATGTATGTATGTAAACTGTGTTCTTTTCATTTGTAACATTATAGAAAACCTACTTCTGAGGCCATATAAAGTCTGTACTGTACAGTAAGCACTTTCCCAGTATAGTTTCTTACCTAAAAATGGATTATATAGTGTGTTTAATGAAAAGGATTCTTCTCCCACAGTATCTACAGAGCTGTTGTTCAAATGTCAAACAACTCAGGAATCTCGAAGGATTTCTGACCGTAGTCACTTGATATTTTTCTCACAAGGCGGCGATAATTAACTGTCCACTGTATTCCTGTCATCGCTGGTACCACGACTATTTTCATAAATGCTGTAAATCATTAAATCTAGTGAGGTGCAGGAGAAAAACAACAGTATATTTGTGACCCTGGTTAGTTGCACCTGTTTTTATACTGTCTGTAATAATGTTAGTGATAGTGTACGTGTGGTGTAAAGACTAGTAAACGTCTAGCGTTGCAAATCATTTTATGCAAGTCTACAGTAAGTGTAAAAATATTCTATTCTATGAAGTTGTTCTTATTTTGCTAAGTGCAGTCCTGTTTTAGCAATAAGTGTTCCATACCGTGCAACGTATGGACTCGTGACTCTGAGCTCATGTTCAGGCAAAGGATAATTAGTGAAACGATTTTCGTGTGCGTTTCATCCGCTCTGTCTGTGTGTAGCTACAGTGACTATACGAACAATAGCTTATCTACGTGCCTTGTTGGAGATCTTAATGTACAAGTCTAATATAAGTGTTCAGAACACACACACACACACACACACACACACACACACACACACACACACACACAAACAAGGTGGCACACAAACGCCAAAGACAGACCATCTTCACTTTACGTGGCTCAGAGTTATGTTTGTCTAAATGTGATTCCACGTCTGTGTGAAGGTCGTAGCCTGAGCCACCGACTCGCACCATGTGACTTGTGCTATCTTCCATTTACAAATGTAACTCTAACTGTGCACAGTGTTTCTACTGCCACAGCACAAACGATCTGTAATCAGTATTGAGGTACTGTGTTTTGTTTTTTTTAATTATCAGTGAATGTCAAATTACTTTACTGGCAACATCAGACATGATGTTTTGTCCAATCATGCTTTGAAATCCTGGTTATAGCTCTCTACATAAAAATGTAATTTGTCCACCGACTACTAACTTATTATTTCTTAATAATATTCATTATTTAGATTTTTAAAAGGCCCAATTATTACATCATCCACCTCATTCAGATTTATCAACTTAAAGAGGTGGACAAACGATATCAGCAACAAACCATCATCACAACTTCAATGCACATGAACAGACGTAACATCAGTGAAGCACACTGCAACATGTTGTTTGCTTGAATGATGACTTTTGTGTCATGGCCGTTTGATGCAAAGCAATAAAAGTGTAAACATGGTGACTTGCCGCTGAGTCTTCTTCTGGTTCATCCTCAATTCACTGTAATCGCATTATTGTTCATATAAATGTCCAATTCCTATATATATATACGTTATATTCAAAGTTTAACTGTTAAATTCCCGCACCCTGAATTTGAGGCAGTTATTTCATAATTACATTTAAAGGATGTAAAAGAAAAAAACTAGAACCACTACCAAGGCCCAACAGTCAAATTTCCATGAAGAGAACACTCCATCTATATATTCTTATTGAAAAATCTTAAATATTCATATCAGTATTGTTCATAAATGTCCAGTTGAGCTTAAGTCTAAACTAAACGTCCCCTCGAGGATAAAAGAGGGAAATGTAGCTAGATCAGGGAACAGATCCACAGTGATGCACAGGATCTGTTCCCTTTATAAGAAGCCTGGGGTGTTTTTTATGTTGCAGACGATTGGGGGCAGCAGAGATCTGTTTTAAAAACATCTGCTCAGCAGCACAACTACATCATCTCTGCATCCTCTGCTCACTGATGACCAGGTCTCCACCAAAACACTGAGGATATTCTACATGGTCAAAATCATACTTTCAGACATCATCTTAAAACCCCACTTATTAACGTAAAGGGAAGAGTCAGCTTCTAAAATAACGACTCGTCTTTCTGTGACTCGGGACATCTGTACTTCGATCGTGTGTTGCTTTTGTCCTGTGAGACTCTGGAAGAAAAGATAAACACTCGACTGTAGGTTTAATAATCACGATTATTATTATTTTACAGAACATAAGTAACAGCAGCATTTCCACAAACTGGAGAAGTTTGGTGCTTTGTCCTATGTGGACTCTGCATGGTGGCAGTTCTTGAACAGTAGGAACATTTGACCGCTCAGAACCCGACCCTCCTCATGGTCTGTGAGCGGCGGAGGATCGATTCCTCCATCTCCCTCGGTTCTCTCAGGCTGTTTGAGAGAATGAACGACGCATTGATTCACTTTTCAGTAGCCGACATCACTCTGTTACACTTCACACACTGCACAACGTGTTCAGACACATTTTAGGAACTCTCAGGTCAAAAATCACTCGTTATTTATCACAAGTGCTACATGAGTCAGGGTTTCCTGCTGTGGTTCAGCTTTTGCACGATTGTGGCCCAGAGAAATCCCACCATTACATTTGAAAAAATCATTGCAATTCAAACAAAACTATTTCAACAGATATTGTAGCTTCTTACAAAGAAAAAAAAACAATTTAAGTTGTTAAACACAAGTAGTGTTGGGATTAGTTTTCTTTATAAAGGTGCCTGATGTCCTATTTTATAAATCACAGAAACATTGCAATTTTTACTACATTTGCAAGGCCTCACTAGCAAACCTTTGTGGAAGTTTAACTAATGTTCTTGTCATGTGACAGTTTCACATGTTCGTCTTTGTGCAGACAAACAAAAAAAGTCAGAATAACGTGACTGGTTTTCAGTCATTTGTGTTTCTGCTCAAAGTCTTAAGCTCCAGAGTAAATTGTTTCACTGGGAAACTCGTAACACTGCATTGCAAAGGTTTCGGCGTCCGTGTTTTCAGTTAGCAGCGTTTGGCGGCCCCTCTGGGATGAGCGACATGAAGAAGGTGATGATGAACGACCACGTGGAGGCCAGGAAGCCCGTGTTGGGGCCGCTGTTTGGGTCATCCGCTCCTTCCTCGCCGCTTTCCCCGTCATCGTCCGAGCCGTCATCCATCAGTCCTTCCTATACGGGATGAAGTGATGATATAAGAACAGTAACCTGCAGTGTCTCTACCACAGGTTGAACATGTTTGACTGAGAAAACTTCAGCAATTGACCCTTCGTGCAAAGTTATTTCTATTTCTTCAAGAATTTCAAATGTGTCATATCAAAGAAACTAGTTCTAAAGGAGTCAAAGTCCTTTTGGTCACTGATGAAGTTTCCCTGTAAACTGAGAAGTCGGTTGTGCTTTAATTTTTTTATTTTTGAGTCTAAAAGGTTTAAATCGACCGCTTCTTTGTTTCCATCTATGAAAATCACTGAATGATCCTGAACCTGGCACTTAAGTGAAAACCTTGTACCACAGATAGTCGTCATTACAGATACCCATCAGCCCCGGGGGTAATGATTGCAGTAAAGCTGAGAGAGGCACTGACCATCTCTTGTAGCTCGTGGTTTTGTAGCTCTCCCTCCATGTCGTCCTGATTGGCTCGGTCTCCAGGGAGCAGCAGTTCGTTCTCCAGGTTGAAAGGGAACCAGCCGGCCTGGTGCCTACGCACACACACGCACACACACAGAATGAAGCTCTCACAACAAGATGCCAAAGAAAACATTGAACCATGTGTTTTAAAAAACTCATTTGATAAATGTCAAGTAAAAGGCTCTCTCACAGGTAAAGCACCAGCATGGCCATCATCACCATGACGAAGCGGCTGAAGGAGGAGTAGAAGTAGACTATGCTGAGTAGGATCGCAGCACGTAAGAATGTGTACACCCAGTCCAGCCAGTCCCAGTTCAGATCCTCCTCATTCAGGATCTCTCCTCCCTGAGCGTTCATCTGGATCTCTGGGTTGCCTCGGCGGTCTGCTTGCGGCCGCTGGCTCAGAGGGTCGGGCTGGTGGGACTGAGGCGGGGGCTGGTCGGGCCTCAGGGTCTGAGAGGAGGCGGCGGCTGCGGCTAGTAACTGACTGGAAGGGGGGGGGGACAGGATGTGAGCTTAGCCGCCTGTGTGGTTTGACCAATGTTAGAAAAACCAAACAGGAAGGAGCTTACTAATGCATGAAGTATTGTCTGGCGTAGAGCTGCTGCCACCACATTAGTGTCATGGGGTTGTAATAAGATTGTGGGTCGTGTTGATTCCAGCTGGAACAAGAGACACTGCGTTACAGAGACATAACATTTCACCTGTCCCATGATTCCAGGTCAGGGTTTCATAGGTTAGTTTCACACAGATCCGTATGTTTTGACTTGTGTCGCTGCTGCGTTTATCTGATGACATTGGATTCAGCCGCGTCGAGCTAAAAGCGATACGGACAAATTACTAGATCCAATCAAGATTAGAATCCAGACTTACTTAAAATTACTGAGATGTTTATTAAGATAATATTGATCTGTGTGATGCGTCCTCAAGGTAAAACTGTATTTCTAGTAAAAGTCTGGAATCTGCTGTAGTGAGTCATTCTCTTGACTCTGCTCCGATGTTTGTTTTCAGAATCTCACCTGTGCATGAACTGTGAATACATCTGGTGGTAAGGGAACGGTCCAGCTCTCTGTCTGACTCCATCGCTGCTCCCCCCTGTAGATGACTGGGGTTGTGGACCAGCGGGGGGGCTGTTTGAGTTTGTAAAGGGCTGTAAGTAGAAAAATAAGTTCTGAATATGCAAAACACTTCATGGTTCAAAGATGAGCAAAACATGTCCTCATGGAGGTGCAGGTCACAGCAGTGAGCGGGATGATGAAATGAATGGAAAGGTGTGACGCGTGTGTGGCTGACCCACCGTGGGACTGGCCAAGTTCCCCTGAGGCTTGTTACTGTGGCTTCGGGGGGGCTTTGGGGAGCTGGGAGGGGTCCGTGAGGCGCACACCAGATGGAGCATATGGTACTCGTCCTGCTGTAGAAACCAATACAGCTCATTACAAGAGTCAAATGACTACAGGTTCAAAGAAAACTAAAATAAACCTCTGACTGTTATGAGCGAACGCTGCATCATTAAACCAACACAGAAAACTGCTTCTAAAGGTCATTACAAATAACTATTAGATTCATATTACCTGTGTCATGTTGTATTATATCATCCACATTTAATTTCTCAGTAAAAATTTCACCCAATCACAAGGACGTTTATGTTTTACAATTCTGAGCCTCTCAAGAACGCTCATTTAGCTGTGTTCAAAAGAAGCAGCAAATTAAATCCGAGCACGAGAATGAAGAACAGAATAACTTTCTGTCCACATACAAAACACAAACCACAGTTTTTAATGTTTAAAGACATTTTTAAAACTGAAAATGTGCCTGTTTTCATATTTTATTACATTTTTGTTTTGTTTTTTGACAGGAAAAACCGATTGCCCCTTTGAACCCTGACCATCGGCCTTCTAGTAATTAAACTGGCCTGTAACAACAGAGGGAACCTACCTTTCTGAGCACATCTTTTAAGGTGAAGTGATCCAAAAGCAGTTTCCCAGAATACACCAGCCTCTGGTCTTTGGAGCTCTGAAAGTGTTCACGACAACGATAGCAGTGTCAGAGGAGAGGATCTGTTTCTTAGCAACAACTCAGGGAAATGAAATGCAGCTTGCTTCGTTTGTTTTTGACCTTTGATTAGATTTTTATTTAACGTCAAACTCAAATCAGTATAATGGCTAACTTACTAATGTAGGTCACAACATCAAAAGGCGGAGACTTTGTGTGAGTAAGTAATGAGGATGAAGTCATTGTAACCTCAATTGGGATAAGTAGGTCTTAACAGTGGATTAAATTGGCGGTACAACAAGGTCACAGTCTGTCCTCTTAAGGCCTACATTCACTGCCTGCCGCCGTTTGGGAATTTAAAGTGCCAATTTTAAATCTTGGCAACTTCCAACTGAGAATGTATTATTCTGGGCTGGATATGAGTAGAATCCAAACAGTAGTGCAGCCTTCACAGAGAATTCACTGCAGCGTTACAAGGGAGCAGTTTGTCCCTGTGTGTTTACAATGATTGCATCAGAACAAGTGGTCAATCAGGAGGGATTAGATCAGCAGCACCAAACAGCAGGATTCTGAAAAGCTTCCTTTTACTGCGACGTCAAATCTCCAGACTCTGAGGCTCCTTCAGCTGCTGTGACTCACTGTGTCTTCAAAGAACAGATCAAGGTTAATGGTCTTCCACGCTTCTTCATGTGTGGAAATGTAAACATGACATCTGACCTGATCTTATCATCAACACTTCTATGAGTTCAAACGTCAGATGCACGTACACGTGTCAGGAGTCTGACTGACTGGATGTAGTCTGGGAACATGGTTTCCTGACGCAATGCACTGGCAAACTGCCCAGTTCTCTCTCACACACACACACACACACACAC